CCCCAAAACCCCAAAACCCCAAAACCCCAAAACCCCATGTATGAACAAATTAGTTGAATCAATTTTAAATCAAGAATCTACTGTCTATTCCTGATGTCTTAGACAGATTGTTTTCTCCAAGTTCTGCTCTGAGCCATTTAAGGCCAAATTTATAAATCACATAGAAGATAATTATGGAATGTGTCACGTCAAGACCGAGAGCATCTAGAAATGTGAAAGAGCAAACCATCAGCCAAAGTATGTCCCAATCAAACTGTAGGAAAAGCACTCGTGTGAAGTTCATCAACTTATCAGGGATCAGCTTGAAATGGTTGAGAGTTGAGATGGCCTCAGGAGGTAGCTTGAAGAAGTTATACAAGAATGTCACTTCATTGATGTATTCTTTCGGATTATTTCTAGCATCAATGATCTGTCTTACTAAATAAAAGTCCATTTCGTCCTTCTTTGAGACAATTTCTCTGAAGTCTTGTTCAGACATTCCTATGTCTCCTGATTTATAGATAAAGTCAACTTTTGGAGTATTCTTGTATTGATTGGAAGATCTTTTTCTTTGAGAGAGTTTTTCTTTGCTTTCATCAAAAACTTCGTCAAACAATTTCCTTTCTCCATATGGAAGATAAAATTCGAATGTCTGGCAATTGGGATTGTTCTGAATTAGGCCTCTTTGCTTAGCAAGTCCTTGACCTTCAGAATCTAATGCTTTCTTCAAAGTATCTAATGTAACATCTGAAGAATTGGCAGGAGACTCGCCATGAATGTAATATCCGTGGAACTTCTCATCAAATATAAACAGAGACACATTTGCAACTGAGCAAAGATCAACAAAATCCATGTAATGAAGAGGAAATAGGAAGGATACAGCATATCTTACAGCAACAATTACAACAGCTGTGAGAAAGATTGTAACTGTAAATAAGAAGAACATCAGAATATAACTTGTTGGATTCCTTGAATCAGAACGGTTCACATTTGGATCATATAAAGCACCATATTGCCATCCTTCACCAACCATGATGAACCCTACCCAGATCAAGACCAGTTCTACAGGGATGACTGTTGAAGAGAGAAGCTCATTAAGTTCATTCATGACAAATATAGGTCTCCATGCTTTAGGTTCTTCATACTCTTTAAACTCTCTTTCATAGATATCTCTATCTTCTGAAGTCTTTTTCTGTAAAGCATTTGCTAAAGTATGACTCAGACTGGCCATATTCTTTTCTCTATCAAGAACATAAAATGAGCAGGCACTCTGTCTAACAATTTTTGCAATTATCACAATTATTTTGATCACAAAGACCATTCCAAATATTATTGCGAACGGGAGAAGGTTGTTGCCTGTATCATGAGGCATCACAAGAAAAGCAGCTTCGTCCATTTTAAAGAAAGCATAAAATGATGCTGATAAAGCAAACAAGAAGCAGAACTGAATAGTACTCCATGACTCTAAAAAGAACTGCACGACGTTCAGTAAGAATTTGTATGTGTAAACTGACCCCATTAAGCTCTTAGGATGTCTGTTATACCACAAATAAGTCTTCCATATGGTAGAAATGAAGATGAAAATATGAATAATTCCAAAGAAGATCCAGGCTACTATCCAGAAATCTGAAGGATTCATAGTATATTCAACTTCGTAGGAAACATCAGTTGTTCGACTATCAGGAATAAATGTGAGAGCCTTAGCTCTATACTCAAGTTCAACGTAGGGGACGAAGATCTGGTCATTTCCGTCGGTATTAAGCTCAATAATCATCTTGACCTTGTCTACCCATCTTATATAAGTTCCATATAGAACTCCATTCTTGTATGCATCTGTTCCAGTAAGTCCTGACTTGGTGTCATAGAGGAAGAATCTTCTTGTAAGCTTCCAGCTTGATCTATCAGATTTTTGATTAGGCCTGCCATTATTAGAATCAATGTAGTTGTTAATTTTGACTGGGACATCAATGTAGTCTCCATCCGTATCTTTTAGCCAAAGATCATAGAAAACATCAGTGTTGTTTGGCTGAATTGACGAATCAATCAACTTCGAAACATTGAATGAACAATGAGCGGTGACTGATGTTCCAAATCTTCTATAATCGATACTGTCCTGGTAATCAGCAGGACATAGCTGGAGTTGTGTCCCCAAATCTTGGAATCCTAAGAAATCTCCCTCTAAATTATAAGTCCCTAGCACAAATCTCAAAAGCCCAAGTCTTGTCTCTGAAGAAGTCTGAAATCTTGCTTTGCCTTGGACTCTGTTTGCTTTCTCAATAATTTGTGGGGCTGTTTCTGAATAATAAAGCCAAGGAGTTTGGGATTTCCAGTCAGAGTCATAGAAATCATCTCTAGTAGTTAAGTTGGTATACTCCAGCATATTTCTGTGGGCTAAACATGCACCGTAATTTTCTCTGTACATTGAGTAAACACAGAGGTTAGCAAGAATGTTGCATTGTTTTCTATCAAAATACTTCAAACACCTGTAAAGAGCTTCTGGAAGAAGGTACTCAAAAGTATTTGATGAAGGAAGTGTCACTGAGTTTGTTCCACTTCCAGTCTCAACAGGATCGTATATCACTCCGGTAGAGGTGGAGGGATTGTAGTCAGCAGTGATAGTTCCGTAATCATTTGGAGCACAGAAGGTAGACTGAGAAGAAGTACCAGCTGGGCATTCACAAGCTGAAGTGCCTGTATTGTAAGTTTGATCATCTAATGGGCATTTATCACAGTAATATGAGGTTGTTGTGACTGTCGTAGCTGGAGAATAGTATCCTTTGGGACATATCCTTCATCTAAGGTCACCAGTAGCACTTGTTTCTTGCATGTATGAGCCATTCCCTCATGTTCAATCTCCTCCTGGGCAAGCTAAGCAAGCATCTTGGATTAAATTTGCAACTTGACCACTGGGTCAAGCTTCTCAGGTGTATGGATAAGTCGCGGTTGTCTGTGTTGTTGTTATAGGTACTTTCCTGAAAGTTTGAGGACAATATCATGAAAGCCCATCTGGCGATTTTAAAAAATTTGTTGGACAGCTTTCTCATTGAAGAGACACTGAATTATAATACTGAGGGTCTGTACATGTTGTCGAAGCTACAATCGTTTGTGCTGAGCTCAATCTTGAAGCTAGGGCTAAAATAATCGAAAGAAGCAAGATCCGATTTGAAAAATGGGTTTTGTGGAAACTTTTCATTTTTCCGCCTTTAATATAAATTTGTTCAAAAATATTTAAATTAATGGGGTTTTGGGGTTTTGGGGTTTTGGGGTTTTGGGGTTTTGGGG